TTGAATTGACTCAGGACATGGAGGTAGCCATGACAGTGCAACGAAAGACACTCATGAAAGAGGACTTCCAGAACTGCTTCAGAAAGTGGCAATAATGATGGGATAAGTGTGTTTGAAGCCAGGGAGAGTATTTTGATGGGATTAATGGCAATGCATCCTTTACTGTAATAAATTTCTTTTTTTAATTTAAACATTCACTATATTGTTTGATCACACCTCATAAGAAGAGGCTGGTTTAAGTGATTCTTAATCCCCTTCTATATATATTCTTTTGGGAAGCTAATGAATGCCCGCACACCCTTGCCTCAGAGAAATGCACACACACACAAAATTTCATATATACTTTGAGTGAGTTGATGGACTGACCCCAGGTGAGAAACTCTTTTCTAGAGCACTGCTCCAAAAAGAATCACAGAAAAAATATTTTTCTACAGGGTGGGGGTGGGGGTGGGGCTACTGTATGAGAAACTGACAAGGGGCTTCCCTGACCTCTTATCTAACACAATAATGACTAAAAAAGAAAAATTATTATGGAATGATTAGATCAAGGTGACCTAAACTACCTAAAATTTAGCAGCCAACTGGCTGGAAAAATCACAGGATTGGAGGGGGTGGGGTAGGGGGGTAGGGGAGGGGGGTAGAGTTGCAGAAAGAGAGAGTCAAAGTAAATTTGTCAGAAAATAGCAGCATTTGAGGTATCTATTTTGATTCTTCTCCCATAGGCTCTTGAAGAGTTGGGTCTTTCTTACCAGTTGAGTTCAGCTGTGTACAGGTAACCAAATATTTGAAATCAATGTGAGCCCAGGAGGAATCTGACTTAAGTCTTGCTAAAAACAAGCGACCCTGGTTGGCCACTACATCAGTGAGACCAACACAGGTGATCGATAGGTGATCCACTCTGGAGTCTAGTCTCACATCCACTTTAAGAGTTGGAAAAGTCTTTAGAAATAGCTAGATTAAGACAATTCTATTCTACCACCACCCTGAAAAGAGCAATCAAGTGTCTAGTTAACTGGTTACTACAAAAACACTGTCTGCTTTCTTGTAACTTCCATAAGAAGGTCCTAGGTTTGTTTTCTATAGATACTAACCAGTTTATTTTCTCTTCTGCCAAAAACAGCTGTCCTAAATTACCTGAAACATTGTCATGCCTTCTCCTTTATCTTCCTTCTTCCCTTCCCTCCCTTCCTTCTAAAAAGTTCCCTCTTACTCCTGTGCAGTCAATTTGCCTGCCTCCACTCTCAGCCCTTAGCGATCACTGATCTACTTTCTGTTATCACAGTCTTTTGAAACTGGATTCCTGTAGGTACACATAATAACAATGAGGATCAGTTTTGAAAATTGCTCAATTAAAAATGTCCCCAACATTTTAAACAAAATTAGAGACTCTAAAAAATCTGGTTGTAATAAAAAAAAAATTTCAAGAAAATGTATATGCTTCAGTATTGTTGATCATGTATAATATTCTAAAACTATTACAACATTTAAGTGATAAAATAATGTCAGATACAGTACTGAACTATAATAGCACATTTTATACGCTTCTGTCTTAAGGACTGGATTCTGCATTTGACATTAAAGTCCCATGGAGTCCCAATTTTATTCAAGTTGTCATCTCTAGAACCTAACACAGTAAACACAACAAATGATAAAAAAATTGCTTAGTTACTTATCAAGGTAACTAGATCTATTTTTATCCTTAGTATCTCCTAAAGCTGTTCCAATTAACAAGTTAAATAATTGTTCAGAAATCAAACACCATTTTTAAAATGCTATACAAATCCTCCATAATTTTACAGTTTTAACCAAAGACTGGTAGGATGTTTATAATAGAGAAAGGTGCCTTTTTTTTTGGCCTACCATGTAAACTAATCGTCAAAAATAATTCTTATTTTGTTTAGTTCTAGAAGACGGTATACTACTTGGCAAAATATGTATTTAAATAATATTTCTACATATGCATTATTATTTTCATCCTGTTTTATAGATAAGAAATCTAAGGTTCAAACAGATTAAATGAGTGTACACTAGCTATTACCGAATCTAGGCTCTGAGAACAAACCACCAACTCAAAACTATTTGTTCTTTTATCTACACCATGCTATTTGGGCGACTTGTGATCATGGTTAATTTGAGTCTGTCACATTAAAANATTACCTTCCTTGTACCTGGAATACTAAGTTGCAACCATAGGAGTCCAGATGACAGGGTGTATGGGCCCCCAGAGAGCCGATCCACAATGTACTTTCCTGTCCATTTCTTCCAGGAAACCCGAAGTCAGACCATATCACATCCTATTTTGAAAATAAAATTACAGTCCATCAAGAATCAAACAACTCCTCTGTCTGATAGTGTTGTACATTTTCACTTGCACATCTGGTTTTTGGCTTTTGGAATACTCTCTTATAAAAAATGCTACAGATGGAGGCAGGTTAGGTTTCCAGGGCAGTGTAAGAAATCTTTTTAACAAATAACACGCCTGAAGTACCTCATTAATAGTAGTTATTCAACAAATACTTACCAACTGCCCACACATGCCAGGCAGGCACTGTTCTAGAAGCTTATGACAAATCCATGAACAAAACAGACAAAAATGCTCACCCAAATGAAGCTCACATTTTAAAGGTTAGAGACAGACAATAAACAATAGACGTAATTATGCAGATATCTAGGGTGTTTCAGGCAGTGGGAACAGTGACTGCAATGGAAATAGTATTTTAATATCGCTGAAGTTCAACTCAGGAAGCCAGAAAGCCATATTCCTTCGACGCAACGCAGGTACTTCTGGGCATAAATAATGTATTAACTTTGTGCACTTCAATGATCACATAAAAGAAGCCCTCTTAGGTTAGTGGAATTATTTAAACTATAGATGGAGGCTCAGTTCATACCTACTAAATCAGAGTCTCCAGGTGAGGGTGTCACAGCATATCTTTTGAAATATATATCCATAAAGGACTTTTGCTATCATTCCAAGTGGTGAACTCCTTAAATGTAGTGAATTTTAAGACAGAGAGAGCATAGCATTCTATACTTTGCTCTCCTTACGCCTGGTTCTGCGGGCAGATCATGCCCAAGTCAACTACTGACCCACAAATACCATCTGGTCCAGTAGTTCCCAAACCAGGCTCCCTGGCATCCTCTCAGGGACCCAGGGATAGTGGCAAAGCCTCGTGCTTTCAACAAACTGCCCTGCTCTAAGTCATTTAGGTTTGAAGAAAGGGTGTTCCTGCTTTTAAATAACAGTTTCAAAACTACAAACATAGTTTGACATAAACCCAAATCCATGGAATTAAATATGTGTGTAAGCTAGAAAAGAACTAGTGAATCAGGCATGAAGGTTTTACTCATTTTCTTAAACCATGAATTTTTCCTACTGAGTTTTTAAAAATGCACACCAAAAACACTTGTGTGTGCAGAACACAGGCCTAAATACTGATACTTCTTTTATCAGTATCTTCAATCTATATTTTCTATTTTTACAGGCAAACCATTAACAGCTGTATTCAAAGAGAAAGAGGATTTGGGGGGAGACATTTAATAGATGGCTTGGAGAAAAACTAGAAAGAATATTTTCATTTTTGTTTTGAGTGATGAAAATTGCGCAATACGTGCACATAATGAGTGTCTGTCATAGAAAGGGTGGTTTTTGCAAGGTTGGCACCATTGTAAATGCGTATGACTCATGTGCAACAGCTACAGGGAGTGGCAAAAATCATGTGCCTTCTGGATACAGCCCATAAGCTCCATGCCATGAGCTTACCTTTGTATCTAACACCTAACATAACACTTGGCTCAGGG